ATATTTGTCTTTTTACACATTCCTGTATATCTGCTAATATACAGATCCTCATGAACACTTTAACACTCAAGAACATCATGTGGATTTGGGATGCTTCCTGGAAGATTTTGATTCCATTTATGAAAACATTATTTTGATAGCCTGACATTGATAGTCCTGTTCCCATATGTTTCATGGCATTTAAAAGGGGAGCATGTTCACTTTCTTCAGATCAACCCACTTGCATTACAGAAGATAAGTACAACTTCTCAGCATGAATGAACTCAGAAACAGATACTAAAAATAACTTTCTATTAACATTTGAAATTTCCAATGCCTGCAGTGAGCAGAATGAGTGCTTTTCCCACATCAAAGTTTTATATCATTAAACCAAACAAATGGAAACTGCCTCACTAAAATGTCATGTGTAGCCTTGTGCAACATGAAAGTATTTAAGTATCTTTAGCTTATTCCTTGAATCTCATTTTTAATCACTTTACCCCTTAACTGAATCCTAGGTAGTCCAAATTAATTTCTTTTTGAGGATATATTTTTATTATTGACAGAAGAATAAACATATAATAGAATAAAATTGGTGAAATGGAATAAAGGAATAAAATGTTTAATAATAAAATAGATAATTTATGATGCCAAGGACTTGATAAAGGGGCTCAAAGATGAGAAATTGCATTTAAATGGCCAATCGAAACTCATTCCAAGAGTTCTAACATTGGTTAAAAAAATCACTTTTTTAACAAAAAAAGCTGATTGGGCTGTATTCTCTCTCTAATCTCAAACTGGATTTGCACCTTTTTATTTTAATAAAGCTGGTTTCTGTTTCACATCTTACACATGAGCAAAATAAACTCAAGTGAAAACCGTCATGGAATCTGCTCCCTAACATCAGGAGAATAATTAAGCATTTTTCCATGACCCTGATTTATTTTCTGGAGTAAAATAAACCATTCCCACCGGGACTTAAGCAACTAAATGTCTTTCTACTCCAAAAGGCAGAATACCTGAGTAATTCCTGCATCCATAAATCTTCTTAGCACTTACACATTTAATCAACCTGCTCTTTCTGTACTGGCTGATGAACATACATAGTGTGTGTTAGCATGCTTATAAAATGGTTTATTGAAAAAAAAAAAATTAAACCTCTGAATTTAATTGGAGGAAGGAAATAATTCCAAAATACTGTGTGAAGTAGACACAAATAGTAAATAAAAACAATTATAACGTTTAAAAACTATTTTTTATTTTTAAATATCACTTTTTATTTCCCCTCCTTTCCTCTATTCCTATCTCCATCTTGCTTTGACCTGAGTGGGGCTTCAAAAACAGCTCTCTTTGCCACACCCAGACACTCACACCAGATGAGCTTAAACAGGGTTTCTGATGGAAAGCTACTGGGCCAGTTGGCTTTAGCTGATCATTGGGATTAATGCTTCAAACAACAAGCAACACCTTACCGTGTTCTTTGAAGTCCCACTCTTATTGATCCAATGAAGACACTCAGGCCAGTGACAACAGCTTCACTTTAGAAGCCTCTCTCGTTCCACTGCCACACATCTGTGACCAGGACTGGTACCTTGTTCTTGGAAACCTCATACAAGGCACTTATGGAGTGAAGAGGAAGAGACAAAAAAAAGTTAATAAATAGGGGAGAGGGAAGCAGAGAAGAGGAGAGATGAATAGGGAAGTAACTTTTAAAAGTTACCCCAATTATTTTTTTACAAAAATTGTTTGTGGTGTGGTCTGGCTAGTCAAGTGGCCTTATCTTTACATGTACATTTGTTGGGACATAATTATATGGGCTGAAAGCTTTTTCAGTCAGTAAACTTGTAGTTTACATCCAAACCATTTTGTAAGTATTACTTCCTACTTTTATTTTGTATTGCATTGTTTCTTGTATAGTGTGTGTGAATTCATTAGAACTTTCAAAGAGATTGTGACAGACTGTCTAGCCTGTCATAAATTTATACACAAGGTAAAAATTATATTAAAGTGGTTCTACAGCTTTATTTGGTGACATGTATTTCCATATTTTTAGTTATGCTGCATTATAAAGGGCCTGGCTCTCTGCATGGTAATGAAAATTCTTCAAAATGTTTAGAGTCACTAGTCATAGAAAAGAATAAGCTAATTGATATGTATGCATGTGTTTTCTGTACTCAGTCTGAGACACAGCTTAACTAAGATTTTGGCAGGCTTGAAAGAACTTTCATACCATGAGAAGGGAGTTTTTAAAGATACTATGGCCTCACATTTGAACAGATTTTGTTGGTAGGAAGAGACAAGGAGTCAACAAAAAATAGCTTAGGAAAGTGACGTAACACATATATGAGGCCCAAAGCAGGCCTTGGGGAGAACAAAAAGCTGTATTTTCTGTAAGCGGGAGAGGGGATTTTGCTAAAACACGCTCTCCCACCCCTCTCTCTACCCTAGGTCATATGAAACCTTTCTGGTGCTCTAGATTAGGCCTTTGAAACTGTGGGTCAGACACAGACTTTTTCTGTATTGGCCTGCTTAAACATTTTTTAGTCTAAGGCGAGCCTGTATTTAACTATTTATTTTATTTTGTGAATTTCCTCTGTTTCTGTAATTTACCAATAAAGTCTGCTTTTATTTAAGACAACCTGTCTTCAGTCTTTGATACTGTTAGTCACTGACAAGAGTGTCTGAGAAGGAACTAACCTCTTTCCTTGTGGGAGGGAGGGCACAGCAACTGAAAAATTCAAGGTGGGAGGAAGGCCCAGGAAGGCCCCAGTAATTAAGATCTCAGGTGTCATTACAAAGACAATAACTGTCTGTAATATAATGTTAAATAATTTAATTTTAAATTATAAAATATTATGGGTCATGTTAGAAGCAGCAAAGAAAATTCAATATGCTCTTAGTGGCATCACCATACAAAAAAGTGAGTTAAATTTTAGTGTCCCGTATTTTATAGTTTACTGTGTTTAAACCAGCTCCTAAATTTTAGACCTTGAAAGCCAGATGAACATTATACGTTTTGGACTAGTATCTTATGTTTTAAGGTTTTGACCAACTGGCTCCCAAGCCAAAATTTTTGCTGGAACAATTCAGGGCAGGAATTGAAGTTGGTTGCCTGGTATGTTGAGACCAGTCACATCAGAGAGAGCTTTAAATGATATCTATGGGGTACTTCTCATAGAACAGAATTGGGGGCGGAGATGTATGCTCTACGTTATCTCAAAGAGGATTGGGAGTTCCGTGAGGGTAGTTATGCTCTCTATTCCAAAAAGGAGTGAGTTCAGATATTTCCCAAATCTGAAATCATTAAAAAAGCATATTGCACCACCTGGTCCTCTTGCCCTCAATGTGTGTGCGAGGAATTTCCCCTGCACAGTTATGAGTCCATAAGGGTGCTATAGGGAGGGGTGCCCTCAGCTGAGTCCTGTTTTTCCCCCTCTCACTTAATGCAGCAGTCCCTACTTCGGCTGCTTTTGTCATTATCCTGCTGTTCAGCCTTTTATCATTATCACGATTACGCGTCACACATCAACCGTCAACCACAGGTTTCACTTTCAACTATTTAAAACTTTTTCTTCTGGTATTCTAGTATAATTGGTAATGTAAAGTTGAAATCTATTTCATTTTTTTTAATTGAGTTAAAAGTAATTTCAGTTACTACCCTTATCCTTGAGTAGTCCTGCCAATTTTCTTCAGATCACATACTCATAATTTTTAATGATTTTCACTCTCCTGTTGCTGTGTGAAGGCCCATAGGAACAGTAAAGGAAGCTGACTAAACAGGGTAAATCTTGAAACTGACTTTACACAAAGTGCTGTCGAATGCACAATGTAAACAAACTAAAAAATAGATAAGTTTTCTCTCATTATTTTTCAGTTAACAGCATTTATAGACATCACTTGTAATAGCAAGTAAAAATATTAGATATTCATGTGATTTGCCAAATGGCAAGAATACCACAAGTAAAATCATTAGGTGTTAATGCTATTAGATTGCCAAATCTCCCAGAGCACAAGGCAGAGATGATATGTCTGCAAGGTGAAGCTTCATTTCTCCGTATATCTCTGGGGTTTGGAGATTTTTCCCACTTTTCCATCTGTATTTAGCTATCCTACCAGAATCTTTGTTCAGAGTTCTGTCCCAGTGCGAGTAGTGTTAGACTGATTTGGTTTTATGGATTCTTGTTCATCCTAGGAGTTTGAAGTACTGATTCACTAATTGTGTTTATTCTTAGGATCTCTTTTACTGTACTGCATGTTCATCAACATTACCTCGATTAGTGGTCAAAGGCTCTAGCTTGGATTCTTTCTCTTAACAGTTGTTGACATAGCAACCCTTCCTGTTCCAGAGACATTTTCTGGATTTTTGCCAGAATTGGCAAAAGTAATGTTAGCAAAATTATATTTTGTTAAATGTTAACTGCTCTTTAGAGCCCCTACTACATAATTTAGTCTTAAACAGATTTTTTTCCCATTGAACTGTTTTTATAGTACCAAATTTAGTACTCATCAAAGGTGCATGATTGATGGGTCTGGAGCCTTCTGTTTCCCAGCAAGATGGTGGCATCACAGGAAGCAGTGAAGTCATATTTTGCTCTGCCACATTACTGTGCCCCTGTGAATGCATGAAAGCTAGCTTGGCTGTCTTGGCTCGTTCAATCCTTGTGCTCCCTATTGCAACTGCCAAGAAGGGTGTCAGTTGTGATGGTGTTTTGTGATGTGGGCCCAGCTGGAAACTGTTCTAAAATACTTCAAAAAATTGAAGCAGTTAAGTTAGGAATTGCAGCTGAGTAAGAAATAATTACAGGGTGTAAAAAAAAAAAAAAAAAAAAAAGAGGACCCATCGTTAATATTATATTGTTTGCCCACAAATATAATGACATATAATCATTGTCCAATTTTACCAACTGACTTATTTTTATCTTGCAGAGTATTGGTCATTACAGAACAAAACAACCAGATTGGTGAATGCAATTTTTTGTTTGTTTTTGCTCTTCTTTATTCAAAATATGTTTTTTATCTAGGAAACCAGAATTGACAGACTCTGCCTCTCTGCTAGAGACCTTCAAATTTCTTGAAAATGCAGCTGCAGATTTCAGTGATGAAGATGAGGATGAAGATATTGAAGGAAGAGAGAAAACAATGATTGATACCTCAACGGTGGGTCAAAAAAATCTCATTGTTGAAAAACTTGCGGTGAACAGAAAAGTAAAAGGAAAGTGTGAGGTTAAGGAAACATAAACAGGTTGATTCTCTGTCACTTATACATGTGCATCTGCATGTGCCTCATGCAAATTATTAAATGTACCCCATATATGATTAAATGTATATCTGCCTAGTTGGGTGTGCAAGATTGGAAGCGTAAGATACACGCTTCTGAATTTGTGTGCACAAAGTAATCGTGCCTACTTGGAGCCTGAAAATGATCCCCAAATGTTATTTTTTACTCTTCATTGGTCTATTCTGTTAACTTTATTTAAAAAAAAAAATAACCCTCCTGCCACCTCCTGCTCTATTTGAATCCAGAAGTTTGTGAACCTAATTATTTTTAATGAACATCTGATCAATTTTATTTTTTAGGAACCACACACCTTCTAATTCAATCTTCTGCCTTCTTTTGACGTTGAGAAGTATAATCTTTAATGCTAAATCAGAAATCCATTTGATGCGAAATATTTGCTTATATTGGCTTAAAACTTTTAAACTAATTTGAGGAAAATGCTCTTTGCAGTTTCCCAAAACGTATTACATTTCATTTTTAGTAGCTTGTAGAGAATCTTAAAGTAAATGTACCTGTAATATATGAATAAACCCAACCCTATTATTTAACCCAATCCCTTTTTGTTTTGTCAAATTGTTATGCTTATAAGAAGCACACAGAATCTTTTTCAGGGGAAAAGGCAATACACCATGTTTATTGAAGATACAACAATTAGCATATGCATTCACACACACACTCACACTCCACACTCACACTCACTCACACTCACTCCCGCCAGCGATGTTATAGTTACCAGTCCAGAGTCCGGATCAATCTAGTGGCCAGCTAGGTTGATCACCGGTAGAGAGGAGCTGGGTTCCGTTGGTCACGACACACTGCTCCGGGGAAGTCTTGGCAGGACGAACCCAACGTTTCATGGCAAGGCACCTTATTTATATTGTGATTTTCCTTCATTGGGACCAATGAGTTTTGCACCGTCATGCTGTAATCAATTGTTGTTTGACGAGTGCTTGGTTTTTTAAATGTTTTTTTTTTCTTAAGTTCCTCGGGGAGTTGTCCCATACTGATTGTGATTACAGCTTTCTTGTTCCCATTGATAGGTGCCTGTCTCATTTTTAGAGTCTTTAATCTGCCCTCCTCTGACATTTTAATAGGGATGTGTTGCAGCCTCTTGGCGCCCTTGCGTCTGTCTCCAGTTCCTCCCTAGACCATCTGGTTCAGCAGTCGTCTTTACGCTCATCTCTTAACACACACATTCCTCATTCACACACACAACAAAATTAATTTACATAGAACATTTTGACCAGGAACATCAAGTTGCAATGCAAAAGAAGGTTTCAGAGTAGCAGCCGTGTTAGTCTGTATCCGCAAAAAGAACAGGAGTACTTGTGGCACCTTAGAGACTAACAAATTTATTAGAGCATAAGCTTTCCTGGGCTACAACCCACTTCTTCGGATGCATCCGAAGAAGTGGGCTGTAGCCCACGAAAGCTTATGCTCTAATAAATTTGTTAGTCTCTAAGGTGCCACAAGTACTCCTGTTCTTAATGCAAAAGAAAACAATCAGGCATTGTTTTACTTATTTTAAAATGCTAAACCTACAACAAATTGGTGACCCTCAAAGGTCTGTCACTGCCTTGAAATCAGCACAGACACAGATTCTGGCTGATGAATCTTTACCAATGGCCCATTAGGTCATTTCTTTCTGTTATTCAAAAAGGGTAGGCTGGCAGGATATGATCAAATCATACACCAATACATTTAATACATGCTACATTATTATTCTTTATCCTTCATTCTAAATTATATAAAATACAAACAATACTACTACAAAATGACTAAACTTCCTTTTGAGTATACAATGTATGGTAAGGTTACAATTGATCAAATGAAAATGTCTGAAAATTTTGTCCTAATAAATCATGTTTGTCTAATCAGTTAGTGGTATTTAAATATGATTTTAAAATAACGGAACAATTAGTTGTTTGATGGTACAATAGTGATAGACCTAGGAAGTACAAATAAATGCCTTTCTTTCTCTGTCATCAAGGGACCGCCATCTGTAACAAGCAAATTTACTTTCTGCTGATCTAAAAAAAAATTTTCAGTAGCCTTTTACCTTTGCAAAAATGATCTCTCCTGGGTGTGTTTCTAATGGTATGAAGCACAAAAATTCTTCCTTGAAAATTTCACCATCATAAAATCTAACAAACAGTGATAGCTGGGCAGTGTCATTTAAATCGCTTGATTCAGCCTCTTCAAGAGACGTGTATTTGGCATTTTTAAAACCATAAAGCAGTGCTGACACACAATCCTTGTAATTTATCTCCAATCTTCACACTGCCATAGAATTAGGCAGGGAAACTTGCTTCACATGGTTCACAATGTCCTCTTTTCCTATTTGTCGGAGATAAAAACAGTCATAGGCAAATAGTAGGCAGCGCATCACTATTCGTGAATTAGTCATAGGCAAATAGTAGGCAGCGCATCACTATTCGTGAATTTAATTATAAACATTTTTAAGGGGAGCTGATGGGCCACACAGGAAGCCTTGATGGAACACATTTGGCTCGGAGGCTGCCTATTGAGTATCACTGCACTACTGCTTAGATCGGCTTAACTATGCCACTCAGTGGTGTGGATTTTTCACATAATTATGCCAACCTAATTTTTTAGTATAGATCAGGCCTAAGTGAAATAAATACTGCTCAAAAGCAGTTTTTCACTTAAATAGAGGCCATTAAAATTTACAATAACAAACCTAAGTCACTGGTTAATTAAATGACTTTAACCTAGACAATCCGCTTTTGTTGTAGGAAAAATAAATTTTGTATGACTAGTATAGTATGAATTAGTGTAGCTTAGAACTTTTTGTTTTTTAATAAATTACTGAGATGGTGTTAGTGACCAAAGAAAATCCAATTTAGAAGTGACAAAAACATAGATGGTGATGGTAAAATGTGCAACAAATAGGCAAGGTCATCACCACCATTTTGCCCAGCAAAGATGAATCTGAACAAATGAGAAGACAGCAGCTACTCAACAGACTCTCAGCTGTTATGTTTTTGTGTGTGTCTATAGGGTGGGGCACATCAAAGACAAATCTGGATATCAAAAACTCTGATTTCAGAAAAGTAGAGCCTGTCTGGCCACTGATGCTTGCTTTTCTTGATGCTTTTGTGAAGTGCTGTGTACACTTTTGCCCTCTTGTAAAAACCAACCACTATGCATTTATTTTGGACTAAAATCCTTGCATATATGTTTATACACAAGCTACTTGTTGTGACATTACCCATGGTACAGTCTGGACAGGTGGGTAGATGTGTCCCCTCAATTCTCAAACCTGGGGTGCCCCTTACACTGCTATGCTGAGAGCAACCACTCCGTTTGCTCACACACAAACTCCAGCTATATTGTACGAGTGCTATAGCTAGCCACTCCTGAATTACATTGCAGGATGACACCGATCCCAGACTTTCCCCCAGAAATATACGTCTTGTACTGCCCAAATGAAGTTTCCCAAATATTTCAATCCAAAAACACATTGTTTAGATAAAACAAGTTTATTAACTACAGAAAGATAGGTTTTAAGTGATTACAAGAAATGAGTCCTATAGGTCAGAATTGGTTACAAGTAAATAAAAGGTAAAATGCATCTAATACCAAACTTAAGCTAAATGAATTCAAAGCAGTCTCAGTAATGTTCTACAGTAGACTCTTATCACTTTACATACAATGTTGCCACACATATTTTACCAGGACAGTAATGATCAGCACGTTATGAGTTTTCAAAGGATACCTCACAAGGCATACTTCGTACTAAATCCATTATAGTTTTGTAAAAAGGGTGAACATAGGAATACAGACTATCACACTTGTAGACTGTAGCCCTGATAAATTACCAGTATAGCCCTTAATGTGCTAAGGTTGTGTATTGACTGCTTTAGGGTGAGAAAAATTGTTGAAAATTGTTGTTTTTGACAGGACTTTCCTTTAGATTTACAGTTTGAATAAATCAAATGTGTTCACTTTGTCCTGTTTCCCCGCTGCCCCCGCCGCTAAAATAGAGGTACCCTATGTTTAATTTTTTCCTGCCTCTGTTCTAATTTTGTTAGTTCCACATGTGAAAGCAAATAGTACTGGCAGATACCAAGTTGTATTTTTAGTTTAATTTAGCTTTTTTCTTTTTATTTAGATGGTGAGGAGAAGAGTGGTGTCTGATAGCAGTGAAGACAGAGATACAGAAGAAGCTTTGAAAGAGTTTGACTTCTTGGTTGGATCAGATGATGGAGATGGAGAATCTAGAAGTTCAGGAGATGGAACTGACTGGGGTAAGGGAGCTTAGTGGATCACACCAGAAAAACAGAAAATGGGTTAAGCACAAAAACTGAACAATATTTTGCCAAGATCGCAACATCTTTAAAGGAGCCCTACTGTAAATCCTTTGGTGGTAGACTGAGATCCTGTTACTGAGAGACTGAGATATTGTTACTTTTCTGTATGCAGCTTTATGCACAGATTCTTAAGATATTCACATTTTTGTTCAGTTGCCTCTATTAAGTAATAATGCAAATAAATATAGTTTAAATAATCTTTATAGAGTTCCAATACCTTTTCTATCTATCCAAACTATAGAAGCTCTATAAAACGTTGATTTGTCAGATTATGAATGTGAATATAAGAGGTTTTTAATCTTCTTCCCTTCCTCCCACTCTAATACAGAAAGCAATGTGAGTCATAAAAATTTAATTATTTTTTTTCCATTCAATTTGAGCAGTTTGGTCTATTCTATTGCTCAAATTCCTTTGAAAAGATAGCAGGCATAAATTTAAATCCTACTTATTTAGAAAGGGAATTTCATAAACTATTGTCTCGTAATATGTGGTTCAAGTTAATGTCTTGCAGCCAGGTTATCAGAACCTAGTTTACTTTGAAGAATTGATTACTTAAGCCCCAGCACACTACATAAGCTAGCTGCATGCCAAGCTGATAGATTCTGAGGATATTTGGCCCAGTATATAAAAGGTTGAGAGGCTGCAGTTAACTCTGATGGGAGGACATGAGCTCCTTAAGCCCCCCTCAAAGCCCAGTGCATATCTCTAACTCTCTCACCATTCACAAGGAAGAAGAAAGCTTTACTTGAGCTTTAGGCTTGCAGTAACCCTCAATGTACTGAAATCACTGGGCCTGGGATTGGACTGTAAATACTTACTTTAAATACAGCTACAAGAATTCCCTTAAGTAATTAAAAGGACATGATTCTTCCCCAAAAATAGTTCTTGAAAGGCATACTGGTATTTGCTTTTTTTATAATTAAACCTTCATCTTTTCTGCTTTCTGAGCATACTGTATCTATCACTTGTGCCACTGAAATGTGAATAGGTTGAGTTTCAGTTATCAGTCCTATTTAATTTAAGGTGTTAAATAAATTCTTAATAACATTGATGACAGCTCAGTACAGATTTACAAAAGATTTACTTTCCAAAAAAAAAAATAGAAATGTTTGTTATGGAAAGTTATAATTTCCTTTATAGTTGTATGTTTTCAATCCTTGTAAAATTGGATCCAAAGGAGGTTTTCAATTCTTTATATCACAGCTTGTAATTACAGTTATAATAGTCTGTCAGCATAAGCTGCCACAATATGTCATTATAAATCCTTTATCAATTCATTTAAGATACTTATTTGATTTAAATGAAATTAAAAATTAAATGTAATGTCTTATAACTTAATATATTGGAAGTAGGGGGAAACAGATGGTAAAGTTGTTTAAAAATTGCTTTCTAGTTTTGAACAGTACATTTTTTGCAACAAAAATTTCCTGAACATTTTTAATAATAATTTATCAAACTGGTACAATGGAATGCCATGACTGACTACTTTTGAGAGCCTTTAGAGTTGATCAGATCTGTGATTTCTAAACTAGAAAGCATTTACATACTAGTTCAAAATCCGCTTTGTAAGATGGATTAAATATGATGTATGGTACATGCAGGAAGTATGTAAGTGTGTGTTCTCATAGGCATGCCATAGAATATTAATGTCTGAAGTAGTTTGCTGACAACTCTGCCATCTATGTCCTGCATATTTCTAAACATTTTTTTGCCAAAGGAGAGCAGAAATTCCATGTCAAATCTGGGGAAGAAAAGCATGATCAGCTAAAACTTCTCTCCTGATTTCAGAAATGGTGGCCTGCAGTCCACAAACAAAACTACCCTGCCCTGCCATTAAATGTAATGCTGCTTATATTTCATGATCCCTTTTTATTCTACCTCTGTATTACACTTCTGGGGATGACTCCAGTGCTGATGTGGGGAATATTTCTTAACTTCTATCCCCAGCAAATCACCAGACTTGCGGACACTGGGGAAAAACCTGCGGTGAAGAAACTGATACGCCCTCCTTCTCCCCTCCCTCACAATATATGTGGGAAAGATCCACACATAGAGTAGACCTTCTGTACATGGGTCAAAAGGACTTAGCCCATCGATGGTCCATAATAGTTTATCCTCTTCCCTAGGAACTTTTTTTAGCTATTGATATTTCTCCATTTTCAAAGGTGTTTCAAAAATAATTAATTCTTAGCTCAACTATTTGTTTCCTGAATTAATCTATCACCCCTGGACGTAACTCATCTTTGATCGCTGTTCTTTGTATCGTAATTCTATCCAAGTCCAATGTGTTAGTCTCTTCCAGTTTATTAGAATTTATAAATACATGGATGTGTTAATGTCTTCACCTCATATTGATGTGAAGAAACCATTTATATCTGTGGTTCTCAACCAGGGGTACATATATCCCTGAGGGTATGCAGAGGTCTTCCAGGGGATACGTCAATTCATCTAGATAGTTGCCTAGTTTTACAATGGGCTAAAAGCACTACCAAAGTCAGTACAAACTAAAATTTCATAAAGACAATGACTTGTTTATGCTACTCTATATGTTATATCAGTGTTTCTCAACCAGGGGGGGGGTGTCATGATTTATTTTATAATTATATGGTAAAAATGAGAAAGTAAGCAATTTTTCAGTAATAGTGTGCTGACACACTTTTGTATTCTTATTAGGGCTGTTGATTTATCACAGTTAACTCACGCAATTAACTGAAAAAAAAGTAATTGCGATTAAAAAAATTAATTGCGATTAATCGCAGTTTTAATCACAGTGTTAAACAATAGAATACCAATTGAAATGTATTAAATATTTTGGATGTTTTTCTACATTTTCAAATATATTTATTTCAATTACAACACAGAATACAAAAGTGTACAGTGCTCACTTTACGTTATTTTTCTTACAAATATTTGCACTGTAAAAACGACAAAAGAAATAGTATTTTTCAATTCACCTCATACAAGTACCGAAGTGCAATCTCTTTATCATGAAAGCGGAACTTACAAATGTAGATTTTTTTTTTGGTTACATAACTGCACTCCATAACAAAACAACGTAGAACTTTAGAGCCTACAAGTCCACTCAGTCCTACTTCTTGTGCAGCCAATCACTAAGAGAAACAAGTTTGTTTACATTTACGGGAGATAATGCTGCCCGCTTCTTATTTACAATGTCACCCGAAAGTGAGAACAGAAGTTTGCAATGCCGGCTACAAAAGTGCCACGCAAGGTATTTATGTCTCAGATATGCTAAACATTTGTATGCCCCTTCATGCCTGGCCACCATTCCAAAGGACATGCTTCCATGCTGATGACGCTCATTTTAAAAAAAAATGTGTTAATTAAATTTGTGACTGAACTCCTTGGGGGAAAATTGTATGTCTCCTGCTCTGTGTTTTACCTGCATTCTGCCATATATTTCATGTTATAGCAGTCTCGGATGATGACCCAGCATGTTGTTCGTTTTAAGAACCCTTTCACTGCAGATTTGACAAAACGCAAAGACGGAACCAATGTGAGATTTCTAAAGATAGCTACAGCACTCGACCCAAGATTTAAGAATCTGAAGTGCCTTCCAAAATCTGAGAGGGATGAGGTGTGGAGCATGCTTTCAGAAGTCTTAAAAGAGCAACATTCTGATGCGGAAACTACAGAACCCGAGCCACCAAAAAAGAAAATCAACCTTCTGCTGGTGACATCTGACTCAGATAATGAAAATTAACATGCGTTGGTCTGCACTTTTTTGGATCGTTATTGAGCAGAACCCATCCTCAGCATGGACATATGTCCTCTGGAATGGTGATTGAAGCATGAAGGGACATATGAATCTTTAGCAAATCTGGCATGTAAATATCTTGCAATGCTGGCTACCACGGTGCCATGCGAATGCCTGTTCTCACTTTCAGGTGACATTGCAAACAAGAAGTGGGCAGCATTATCTCCTGCAAATGTAAACAAACTTGTTTGTCTGAGTAATTGGCTGAACAAGAAGTAGTACTGAATGGACTTGTAGGATCTAAAATTTTACATTGTTTTATTTTTTAATGCAGTTATTTTTTGTACATAACTCCACATTCGTAAGTTTAACTTTCATGATAAAGAGATTGCACTACAGTACTTGTATTAAGTTAATTGAAAAATACGATTTATTTTATTTTTACAGTGCAAATATTTATAATAAAAAATAAATATTAAGTGAGCACTGTACACTTTGTATTCTGCGTTGTAATTGAAATCAATATATTTGAAAATGTGAAGAACATCCAAAAATATTTATATAAATGGTATTCTATTATTGTTTAATCGCGCGATTAATTGCGATTGATTTTGTTTAATCGCTTGACAACCCTAATTCTTATGTCTCATTTTGTAAGCAAGTAGTATTTGATTGAAGTGGAACTTGGGATACACAAGACAAATCAGATTCTTGAAAGGGGTACAGTAGCAGTTACCAACTTTCGCATGGTAAATAAGCACCCCAAATTTCACAATAAGCCAAAAATCAAGCTAATCCCATTTCAAGCAAGGCCAAAACAAGCCAGTCGCTAAGAACCCCAACACTCTGTGACTAGATCCCCCCCCAGCATGCAGTCTGGGACTGTGGTGGTCCTGCTGTGCACCCCTGACACTCTCTCCCCTGCTTGCCCCCCTTGCCCCTGCTTGCCGGGAGCTGGTCAAAAAAAAGCAACAAGCTACAAGCCAAACAAGCAACACGCTACAAGCCAAAAACTAGCCAACAAGCAACTCACAAACCAATTAAGTCAAAAACAAGCCCAATTTCTGCGTTTTTTCACGGGTTTGGCATGTCTGTACAGTAGTCTGGAAATGTTGAGAACCACTGATTGAGATTATCAGCCTCAGACATTGCTTACCTTCATATCGTATTGTACCTATCATTTTGTTGGCCAAAGAGAGCTGAATACAGCTATCAGCATCACTTCTGAATAGTCTGGAGTGGTGTCTGCAGAACATAAAATATGCTTGGGCAAACCTTTTTAATAGTTTGTTTTAACTAACAAAATCTGAGATTGAATTTCTAACTTTGAGGTGTGCTTCTTTCATTTCACACTAACTGAGAAAAAAAATGCCACTTAACTTGAGTAGTTTGACTTTTGTTAGTTGAATCTAGATCTTTGAGGAAATACAGTTTTGTGTTCTGTTATAGCTGTAGATGAGGTGGTCTGCATTCAGTTGGAAATCCTGCTTTCCACAGTTTTGTACTAAGATGGGCATAAACTTATTGACTGAATCATAGCATGAAAGGTCTTGAGTGTTTTTATTCATTTAAATGTTAGATTTTGAAACTAGATAAGTTATCACTGTGTACACAAGAAAATAATTTTCATATGGGTTTTGAACATGCATATTAGTCCCTGAAGAGCCCTTTAAATGACAGACCAATCATAGCCAAATGATCTGTTCTGAACCATCAGGAGAATAATTCACCACTTTTTAATTTTTTTAAAAGGAAGGAACACTTTACCAGTATAAGGCATAAGGAATAAACTTTATATTAAATATTAATGAAACATGATAAATTTGAATGAGGAAAATAAGCCTTAATTTAATACATTTTTTAAAGAAACCCCCCAGTTTTAATGTAAAAATACATAAATGATAAATGGTATTATTCAGCTCTGAGTTGTACGTTATAGTAAACTGCCTAAATACAGTCTTCTGGTATGCTGTGTAAATGTCTTTAATATTTGTACCTACATATCACCTTTCATTGGAGGATCTCAAAAGAGTTTACAAATGTGGGTAAGTGTTATTTTCCCTGTTGTACAACAGGGGAAACTGAGAATCAGTGACTTAACTGCAGGTATGGCAGAAGTTCAGTTGAGTTTAGGTATAAAATGCAGGCTTCCGACACTAGACGTGCTGCTTCCTTTGTCTGACTGTGATATCTCAAATTTTTCCAGTCTCTTGTTAAATTGAATGCACTTTTAATGTCTAAAATTATTTGTAAATCCCCGGTGAAATGTAAAGTAAACTGTTACAAAAACCCCTTTAATTTAAACATACTTTTTTTGTATAAATTATAGGGTATGACTAAGTAAACTCTAGACATGCTGCACCCATGCTGTAAGTGCTAGGTTAGATTAGCAATGTCATGTGTATTTGTGGATATAATTATTTTTCTGGAAAAATAATTAAAGCAGTAAAAGTATTACCTGCTTGTTAGAAGAGGAAAAACAAAACAAAAAATGACAACAAAAAACACTGGTCTATGAACAATCACTTATTGGGTTCAGAGATAAGCATTTGAAATTTCATCACAAAATGATTTTTTAAGAAATTCTGAGCAAGTGAAAATAGGGGTGAGAATGCAGTCTCACGGAATTTGCAACCACGGTGCTATTTGTGTATTTTAAATACAAGGTATAAATAAGATTGACAACAGCTGCTACCTCCTTCAGTGAAAACTATTTAGTGACATATTATTGAAAAAGGATGTTTCATTTGTTTTACTTTATTTAGAAAAGGAAGACCAGTGTCTCATGCCTGAAGCCTGGAATGTGGACCAGGGAGTAATAACCAAACTCAAGGAACAATACAAAAAGGAGCGCAAGGGAAAAAAGGGGGTGAAGAGTAAGTGGAAAACATTGCACCTTAAAATCATAAATCCCACCTCTTTCACACCCCTAATTCTATCTTTCTTTCAATGTTTTCCTAAAACTACTTACTCTTTTACTTTGCCACTCCTGACTGCTTTCCTGTTCACCAGTGCTCAGGGGTTGAAATTAATGATAGTCAGTCCAGTTGCCTGAGAAAGTAGGAAGATGTTGACTGGGATATAACTTTTACCAGTTTAGTGTTGGATAAATTCAAAGTGATTATGCTGGACATGGACTGTGTAGCAATCAGTGGTGATATATAGACATATGAAATTTAAATGCATTGTTTTGATACTTTATTTAACTGTATATTTCAACTGAGAAAATGTCAGAACTCTCTTAGTTAAAAACATGCCAGTTTTTTAAGACCTGTTTTGGAGTTTGGTAAAACAAACAAACAACTCTTTAGTATCTGTTAGCTGACAGAGGGAGAAACAAGTTAATTTCTACCCCTGTTTGTACTTAATATTCACAACATGCAAGTCATGCTGTCCTCATAATTCCTTATGCAGGGCTCGAAATGGAAAATAAATCTTATTGACAACCTCTAAGTCAATTCTTATTTATCAACTACCATTTTACCTGTGGAATTTATATTTGTCATAGGTGTTATTTGGATTCCAAGCAAACAGCTGTGATAGGTATCTGAAATACAATTTCTAGCCCTGTTCATCATACCTTTCTCTGTTACATCTCCTGAAACAGAAATCCATTATGTGAAATCTATGTTGTTAAATAAAATAAGTATTATACACCTTTCAGAGTCAAGTTAAATGTTTAATATGGAAATCATAACTATTTCAAACATAAAGCTGTGTTGAGAACTCTTGTGGGAATAATTGAAATTGAAAAATAATGCACCTAATTCAGGGGAAAATGTGAAGGATGTTTCATTACTCCTCCCTTTGTGGGAAGATGCTTATTCATTTTAAGGGAACTGTCACTTCCAGCATGTTTACAAAATCCTACAAAAAGATGCCGTGTTCTCTACATTATTGTTTCAAGGTTGCTTCATTTTGTTATTTTCTGCATTTAGTAGATTCTAAATGTGATTGGTTACAGGTCAGTAAATATTAGCTTTGAGATCATAGCATCAAATATAGCACGTAGCGGTTAAACCTACATTATTACTTTCTGTAAGCAAATCAATATGTACTTTAGATTCCTACGCTGATATGAATGACATTTGAAAGAATTCTGTGTTCTTTGATTGTAGTTATTTGAGGTACCTGAAAAAATGCAAGCATAACAAGAAGTTGAGCTTCCCCCACAAAAAGTTATTGTTTTACCAAATAAATTCTGAATTTCTTCGTAATTAAAATAGAGATTCTCATACAATAGGAATACACAGAAAATTATTTTAATAACTTCTTGTCTACATGTACAATGTCATAGTACATGTATATAGTAGACAGTGCCAGGGCCAAAGTTTTAATGCGCTAACTTGCTAGAAACATTTAAGAAATAAATAGAAATGAGTACATTTCTCAATCAGATATTGGGTATGTAGATCCTGATTATCAAACTACAGTAATTAGTGATTAATTTAGGCACAGCTATCTTTGGAACTTTGTTTTATATGTTTAATGAGCAAAGTGCCTGATGCAAGATTGCAATTTGGCACCTTGCACTACTTCACGAGGGTATTGTAGTTACATGTACAGTAACATGTTTTTGGATGGAGGTTTGATCTGGGGGAGACCAAGAATTACAGAAATTAAGTATCTTTCCATGGACAAACCATCGTTGGAAGGGCATCAGTGCAGAAAAATCGGGAGGAGTCGCACCTGTTATTTATCACCCGTTCATGATCTTAGAGAAGAAAGGAGTGAGGAAAGAAATGGGGGCGGGGGGGGGGGGGGGGGAGATTAAACACCTTAATATTGAGATGTATGGAGTCTGTTTTATAATATTAATCTCATCATAGATGAGTATTCAGAGATAAAACTGTTCAGTAAAATGTTGTTGTTCTTTCTATAAAATCAGATACTGTATTAAAACAATCTTGCAAAATCCTATTCACTCTTTGCCTGACTCAAGTAATGTTTTGTAATAGACAACTAAAATACTATTTAGTTTCTTCATTATCATTGTGGGAAGGGTGGGAAAAATAGAACTTGTAACTGGGCTAATACATTTATAATGATTTTGCAAGGCTGTAGTAAAAATTCCTGTGAAGTAGCGTAATAAGATCATACATCTATTAGAATACACCTCTGTGTTAAAGCTACTTAAAAATAGCTGTATTATTTACTGGTTTAGGAAAAACCATAATGGACTATGGGTAAGATATTTTCCCATTCTTAATTAAACTTACAACAGGAAAAACTACCGAAGATATGTTTCAGCCTCAATCCTATATAAAACAGTCAAAACAGGGATGTGGGAAAATGATGGCGCAAAGCACAGGTAAGTGTCAAGAAGGGCATGGGTCTTCACCACATGTAGCTTCAGGAAGTAAGCCAGCGAATCCAGTTTGATTTATATTTTTAATATAACAATTGTGTAGATTATGTAGCATCACAAATATACACCACTGCACAAATAATTGTAAAATATTCACAAATTATTTAAAGAATATACTGCACAAAGCATCTGCACAGATTTTTAAAATAATTCACAAATGTTTGCAATTGTTCTTGGAAAGCAATAAAATATTTTGTTTGACCGATCATTTTGTTGCAATGAGTCAATTGAAGGTATTTAACTTTTTCATGCAAATAGCAGTGTGAGTTCTTAAAAGTGGGGGAAAAAATTCTCAGTTGCTTCCATCACTTTCTTTTTCAAAATGTTCATTTCATGCTGAAAGGTTAGTTACTGCTGGAAGTAGGCGCTCATTACTGATGTTTATTAGGAAATGTCTTATCAAAGATAGGATCCATTGTTGCTTGTCTTGCTGTAACATATTTGATGTGATAAATAGCATTGCTGTGAATTATGTTTACATAAGCCATTTCACTTTTGTTTTTCCCGGTTAGGGCCCAACAGGTCAAAGCTGCAAGACATGCTTGCAAACTTGAGAGATGTTGATGATCTACCTTCATTACAGCCATCTGTCACATCACCTTCTAGGCCGAGTAGCTCAAGGCTTATTGAACATGAGATAAACAGGACAGATGAAGGCAAGTATTTAAGTCTTTATATGTTTATATAAATGTGTATATGTTTGTATATTTATAATTATTATTATTACCTAACATTTTACATCTTATACTTTTAAAGCGCTTTACAGATATTAATTTAGCCTCATCATACCCCTGAGGTAGATAAGTATTATCCCCTTCCTCCATCACCCGGGGAAATTCAGAGAGAGATTTAAAGTCCTGATCTGAAATTTTTTGAGGTCAGTGGAAAGACTGCAGTGAGCTTCGTGTCAGGCCCTAAGTCATTTGCTCATGTTCACGCTAGAAAACAGGCAGAGTCAGGTATAGAACACAGATCTCCCAGGCCTTAACCACAAAACCATCCTTTGCCCATGTATGATTGTACAGAAGATGTGTAGCATTTTATAATATTTGAGTGCAGTGATGAGGAACAAACTCTGCAGCTAAATTAAAAGGTGTGTCTAACATGGAAACACGCAGTGACTGAGTCCAGAATCATAGAGGAAGGACAGACCACAATTTTTGCTCAGGTTGGTTGCCCATTTCTTAAATTTTATAGTGGTGTCTGTATCTAAAATTCTCAGTGAGTTAGGATCGGGGTGGAAAGTCCTAATATGCTGTGCACAGTCTCTGATTCGGTATATAACACTTACCTTCACAAACACTACACCTATAAATTATTAATTGCAGTGTTTTAGCTTTCAGTATTTCAATTATTTTAATGATATACAGAATAATAAAATAAGCATAAAAGTGCCTTTTCTGATGTGTTATATGAGGCATGCTGTGATTTATGCCCAAAAGATTGCTAAATATGACTAGAAAAATGAGCAAAACATGATTTTGGCTAATAATCCATATCTCTTCCTGAAATAGTAAGAAATTAGATTGACAAAATTACAAAACAAATGAAGATGAAAAAGAGTTCCATATGGGTTAAGTACTGCAGAGCACAATAGTTCAACCTCCCACATGCTTAGAGAGATGTTTTTAAAAGAAAAATGGTAATTTAGCAACAATTTGAAATGTAGCAGAATTATTTGTGTGTATGTGTGCTGAGCATTTCCTATCATCGCACAAGTGCCTCACTGGTGGCAAAAAACGTAATGAGAGCTTTCCACATTCACTTTCTTTCAAAATATATATTTTGTAATTGAGAGCATCTGACTGGCTTATGAAAAAGGCAAAACCAAAACTCGTCAGTGTCACTTCATTTTTCATTAGTGATTTAAAGTGGTTTAACATCCATTTTAAAAAAAAATTACATATAAGGAAGTATTAAATAAGTTAGGAATGCAAGTGAGAGAAAGGAAACTGGTAATTCATGCATCAGTTCCTTAGTAGAGCAAAGAAGAAGAGATGTTCATGATTAAAAAGCAGAAATTTGAGTTAAATTTATGCAGTCTTCAGGCAGAGTACAAAAAGCTTGAATCTGACTAGAAAAAGCTAGAAAAGAGAGAGCCATAGGGAGATTCAGAGAAATAGATGAATGGTGAGAAGAACACATGAAAGATGATATTTCCACATTCTGGATGGACTGGAGAGGAGTAAGATGAGTTCAGAGCTGAAGAAGGCATAAAGATAAATTGGGCAAACATTACATATAGTCAGTAGGAATAATCTGCATGTCTGCATACTCAGAAGGATGTTAGCGTGTTTTTCTGCATTAGAAAGGTCTAACATCAAAAAGGGTTAGAAACTTTTTTTTTAATTCAAGCTTAGATTCTAGAACAGTGGTTCTCAAACTTTTGTACTGGTGACCCCTTTCACATAGCAAGCCTCTGAGTGCAACACCTCCTTATAAATTAAAAACACTTTTTATATAGTTAACACCATTATAAATTCTGGAGGAAAAGCGGGGTTTCGGGTGGAGGCTGACAGCTAGTGACCCCCCCTCCCCACCAGAATAACCTCGCGACCCCCTGAGGGGTCCCAACCCCCAGTTTGAGAACCCCTGTTCTAAAAGGTGGTGGGTCTTGAAGACATTTCCTCCACAGCTTCCCATTCTCAGTCTACGTGTCACTCAAACATCAAAGGCCATTAGTATTGGGTGGAGGGCAGAATATATGCAGACATGTCTGAATACCAGGGGTGTATGGTGCCCTCCTATTCCTTTAGTTCATATTTTCTTCTGCCTATCAACAGAACTTTCAATCATGAAGCGCTGTTCAGACATTGGTTTTCTACGTTTCATTTTCTTTCAGAACTCTAGTTATTTGGTGAATTTTCTCTAGTAACTTATTTTTTATGTCCTATGGGTGCTCAATTTCAGGTGCACATGCCCCCATGTGCCTTTGATTAGAGACTTTTGGTAGCAGTGCCTTGCAATCCACCCATGAGCACTAGCTGTCATTCCCCATACTGAGGGTATATAAGCAGTATCAGAGGAACAGCCTTCAGTTCCTTCTCAGCTGCCTAGGCCTGAGATGAAGCGTTTTGTGGTGCCTATGTCATAGTTACCTTTTTCGTAGGGAATAGCTTCTAGTTTTTACTTTATTGTTTAGAGCTTACTTTAGCCCCCCTTTTTAGTTTTTACCAGTTGTATAAAGTTGGTTTGTTTGTTTGTATGTTTGTAAACTTCTTTGAGACTCCTCATTTCTCCCCCTCCCACCGTGGGGAATGGGTGAGTGGGTGCATGCTTTCCTTCTTTGAAGGATGTTATCTTTGTGTTAAGCCTAAATCCTCTGGATTTAAACATTGTCTCACTTGCTGGGATTCTGTCCCAGTTATTGATGGTCACTGTCACTGTGACTGCAGCTTAGAGGACATCCATTTCCCATCTAAGTGTAAAAGTTGTTACAGGGTTTAAGAGTAGGCCTAGAAAAAACACGGAGATTAAGTTTAGGCTTCTCACGATGGCGCGCTCCCTTCGTCTTGCCTCAGATCCAGGTCCAGATACCCCCTCTTCTGCCAGGTATAGCGGTCTCCCTGTTTGCACAGTGCCCCATCAACCTCTGCAGCCCACTCACCCACTGGGGAGAGAACCACAGAGGATGGCACCAAGACTTCCAGAAAGAGGAGCTCCAGATCACCTCAAAAAGAAGATGGAGCCAGGAAACCAAGATCACCACAGAGACCCACTGCTTTGGAGACCTCGCATCCCAGAAAGGATACCACTGAGGCTCCCAAGATCTCCTGAGGGCCCCTCAGCTAAGGCTTCAGGAACTTATAAGTCCCCTGCTTCCAAGTTGCCTGCAGTATCCAAGTCGACATTGATAGCACTGATTGATCAGTTTGCAAAGCCAAGGTAATTCACAGAGCATCATCAGAGTTCTGCACACATTCACCTGGTACCACAGGAGTTTAGATTTTCCAGGGACTTGTTTGTCTTGGATGATCTGGAATCCCCTCTACTGACGGATATGGAAAGATTCTTGGTACCAGGGCCTCATCTGTCACCGTCTACTCTGCAGACTAACATTTCTTCCTAATGAGGCAGTAATGCTGCCACCTCTATCACGTGGATGATTTTAAGCACTTCCAAGTGCTCACAAAGAGAATTCCTGACTCCCTCCAGAATCCCCACAGAGGACGTTCAGGAGACCCAGAACAAACTCTGGGATGTTCTCTATATTGCCACTTCTGGTCGAGTAGTCTTACCTACAAACAAAGCCCTGCTTGAACCTGCTAAAACAATTTGGCAAACCCCAGCTCCCATACCTCCAACTTGTAAGAGGACAGAAAAAAAAAAAACTATGTTCCTGCTAAAGATTCCAAGTTTTTGTTTACGCACCTAGCCCTCAATTCCTTGGTGCTGGATGCTGTGAAAGAACAAAGTAGACAACACCATTCAAAGGCTATTCCACATTCTAAGGACCTAGATCTCTTTTTGGCCAAAAAAGGTGGTCCTCTGCTTTGTTACAATTTAAAATTGCCAATTATCAAGCGCTGATTACAAAATATAACTACACCCACTATGAGAAATTTAGTTTTTATTGATCATCTGCCTCAGGAACAATGAGAGCGATTTCAGGTGATCATTGTGGAAGGTCATTTATTAGCCAGGACTTTGTTACTCTAGATGTGGCAGACATGGCAGCCCACTCTGTTTCTACAACAACGGTCAAGTCTCATGACTTCTGGCTGCAATCCTCAGGGCTCCCTACGAAAAACACTGTGAGGTTCAAGCTCTTTAGTGAGTTCACCAGTGAACTCTTGCGTTCTTGCAGGGATTCGAGGGCTACTCTCCACTCCCTCAGTATCTACGTGCTTGCAAATAAGAGATTCAGCAGGTCATAGATGGTGCACAGATCCCACCAAGCCCAATTCCTTGCTTATCACAGGCTTTTGGAACCACCTAAGAAGAAACCTAATTTCCACAAGAGAGAACCATCCTCCACCACAAGAACAAATACTACTCAGCCTTCCTCATCTAAGTGTCAATGTTGACGTTTTGGCCAAAGGTTTTGCTCTCTTCCATTATTTGGGGATCGTCTCTCCCATTTTCGATCTTCATAGGAGAAGATTACTTCTGACAGAATGGATTTTGGAGGTTGTAACATGAGGTTATTCCATCCATTTCACCTCCATTCCCCCACTCTCCTTCCTCATCCTTTTTCAGGGACTCATCTGCTGAAACAGGAAGTCCTATTCCTTCTCCATATAGTAGTCCACAGTTCCAGTTCCTGCCAAACACAGAGGGAAAGGGGTTCTATTCCAAGTAATTTCTGGTTCCCAAAAATAAGAGTGTATGGAGATGCATCTTAGATTTCAGGTGGTTGAACATTTTCATCAAAACACAGAAGTTCAGGATGGCGACACTCATAGCTGTAAATACCATCTCTAGATCTGGGGGATGGGTCTGCAGTCCTTGACCTTCGTGGTCAGCCAGGAGCACTGCCAATATCACATTCTCCCATTCAGGCTCTTTACTGCCCCCAGAGTCTTTATGAAGGCCCTTGAGAAGCCACTCAACTACAACAATCAGGAATAATTGATTTCTGCTATCTTGATGATTGGCTTCTCAAGGGCCATTCGTACAACAAAGTTCTTTCCAAAGCGAGGAAAGCTATGACGCTATACAACCAGCTAGGACTTGAGCCCAACAAAGACCAGTCCACATTGAGACCAGTTCAATGAATAGAGTTTATAAGGAGCAACCTCACATGCCACAAATATCCAGAGTTTACCCACCAACTGACAGGTTTTTGACACTATCAAATCTGATCTTGCAGGTTCAGGTAAATCTGCAAAGAGCCACAATTTGTCTGCAGCTCCTAGATCATATGGTAGCCTGCACATTTGTCACACTTCATGCCAGATTGCACCTACACTGCTCTCAAGGATGGTTGAGAATTGGTTACACCTCCAACAAGCACAGTCTGAACAAATTACTGTCGATTCCTCATCAGGTTCTACAGTTGGTGGAAAGACCTGGACAATGTCTGTACTGGCATTCCCTTCATTCTGCCTCCCAACGACTGCCACCATTGTATGATGCATTTCTCATAGGGTGGCAGTCGGCGGTATAATATCTTCAAACACATACCATTCAAGGCAAATGGATTGCCCAAGAGTCCGCTTTCCATAGTAACCTCCTGGAACTCAGATCAGTTAGATTTGCCTGCAAACGTTTCCTTCCCATGATCAAGGGCTAATCTATCGACAGACAACAGAACCAACGTGCATTATATAAATTGTCAAGGAGGAGCAAGTTTCCCTTCCCTTTGTGCAGAAGCAGTAAAATGGTAGAAGTGGCGCATAGCGCGTCGGATTCTCTTCTCAGCCTCATACTTACTGAGTCTTTAGAACACTATATCCAATGGCTCAAGCAGACACTTCTGCTCGGACTAGGAGTGGGAATCAAATACCTAATTCTTGAGCATATATTCCTCACCTGGGGTTTTCCAGAAACAGACCTCTTCACCAGTGTCCTCAGCAGAGGGTGTCGGATGTTCGGATCAAGAGGGGTCTAGAGACCATCAATCTCAGGGAGATGCCTTCCTCATCTTCTGGTCAAGGAATCTCCTCTGTACCTATCCACCACCACTGCTGCTCCTCAGAGTACAAAACAAAATCAATCAGGACAGAGCTAAAGTCATCCTAGTTGCACTGATTTGGCCAAGGCAAATATGGTTCCCTTGCCTGATTCACCTCACATCTCACTACAGCTTCCAACCATTCCTGACCTGCTGACTCAAGAACTGATCTCAGCTTGAACACGCAGTAGCTCAAGGCTTGGTTTCTAGATGGTTCTCTGGGGTAGAGGTCTCCTGTTCAAGAGAGGTACAAGAGGTTTTGTTGAATAGCAGAAAAGCATCAACTGAAAAAACTTACCTGCAGAAATGAAAGAGATTCCACCATTGTTGTATCCCCTGCTGAGTCTTCCCTTTTGGATGTCTTAGATTACTTGTTGAGTTTGAAGAATTCATGCCTCTCTCTGAGTTCTGTTAGCAGCTATCACAGCTTTCCATTGCCCTGTTGATTGGCTTTCAGTGTTTGCTCACCCCATCACTTCCAGATTCATCAGAGGGTTGGCTGACTTCTTCCACATGTCAAAGAACCCACTCCTATGTAGGACTTGAATTTGGCCCTCAACTTTCTGGTGAAGCCTCCATTTTGAGCCACTAGCTAAGTGTGCCCTTCTACACTTGTCTGTGAAGACTGTATTTTTAGTGGCCATCACCTCCACTAGGAGAATTGGTGAGCTTGGTGCCTTAATGGTTGGTCCCTTTCTACACAGTTTTCTATAAAGGGCCACATTTCCCCTTTTTACCCAGTGTAACCTCAGACTTTAATATCAATCAGGTCATCGACTGCCAGTGTTTCATCCTAAACCTCATCTGACTAGGGATGAGGTTTAGGATGCACCTTAGACATCAGGAGGGTATTGGCTTTTTATTTGGAAAGGACTAAACCCTTCAGAGTCTCTCCCAGGCTGTTTCTCTCTTTCCAATTGTATCATCTTCTGCTATGAGGCTGCTAATGCTAAACCTCCTTTTAGGGTTGTAGCCCATTCCACCAGATCTCAGTCTACTTCCATAGGCCTGTTTAAGAATGTATCCATTGGTGAAATATGCACAGCTGCTGTGGACTTTCATCTGCACCTTGTCAGAACACTATGCCTTAGTACTCGCCTCTAGGGCAGATGCTGCCTTGGGGACTGCAGTTCTGCAAACTATGTTAGACTACACTCCAAAGCACCCACCTCCTTTAGAAAGTACTGCTGAGAAGTCACCTGGAGTGGAGCATAGGGACGTTACCTGACAGAGAAGGAAAGGTTACTTACCCTCTATGGTAACTGGAGTTCAAGATGTTTGACCCTATGGGTGCTTCACTACCTGCCTTCTTCCTCTCTGCTTCAGAATCTTTGTGTTGTAGGACTTTGTAGTAGAGAAGGAACTGAGGGCAGTTCATCTGACACTTCCTGCATACCCTCAGTCTGGGGCATGAATACGCTAGGATGCATGTGTGGACCAAATGGGCACACTGCTATCAAAAGCCTCTGATCAAAGGTGCATGGAGTTCATGTGCACCTAAGTGTAACACCCAACAAATACCTTGAAGAATTCCAGTTACTGTACAGGGTAAGTAACATCTCCTTTTGTATGCCTGTCACTTTAGCATTACAAAGATTAAATGTAGCACTACCCACAATGGACAACACAAATATCCATTCTTTGTACCTTTGTAATGTATTAACATTTGAGAAGTGTTTTAAAAGTGTATCTATTTAACAATACCATTCCAGTCATAACCCAGTGATTGTCATAGTTGAGCAAATGCTTTATCATAAAGATGTATCTCATCCCACACTCTGAAGATCTTTGCAGTCAGATTCTGGTGACACACCTGAAAGAGCAAGATACAGTGGCAGTGACCTTCCACTGAAAGCATCCTACATTAAATCCCTAAAATGTCTAACTTGACACTGGTAGCAAAAGTATCTAATCAACAGTTGCAGTGCTGAAGACATTAAGGCAGCTATTTCCAAGCTACATATGGGTTTTTGCAGTAAATTAGAACCAATATATTGAATGAAATCTGGAAACAAATGGGAAGCCAGTGGAGTTAACTGAGTATAGGCATAATTAGCTCTCGCTGACCCATTTTTGTAAGTAATAGGCTGCAACTTAGTGCACTGTAGATGAAGATTCCAGCTAGTCCTCAAGAGGGCACAGCAACAGCCTAACCTGAAGACAGCAGAAGCATGAATGACTAGTCAAGTTTGCATCTTCCAGGAAAGGCTGCAACCTCTTTGTTGCAAATTATAAAATATAATAATAATAAAGTATGAGCCACAACTTTGGAAATTCAAGAGCAATGAAGAAATTGAAGATTTGTGGCAAAAGTGATGTCTAATTTTTGATTGCATCTGGTCCCCCTCCTTGCTAGTTTTCTTTTCTAAACTTCAGTTCTCCTGGAGCAGCTGTATACTTCAAGTTGAATGTGATGCATAGGCTAGAATTTCCATAAGTCATCTAGGCTCCTTGAAATTTTTTGGTGTGAGCTCCACAGGGAAATTAGTTAGGGTATAGATGGTATCCAAATTTCATTGTTCTGTTTTCATTCCTGTTAACTCAACGATGAATATCATGTGACCTGAAGGCTAATTCCACCAGTGTTATGATACCATTTCTATCATATCTACAACACATAATCACCTCTGAAATTTGAAGACTTCTCAGTTTTTATTTTTCCTAACATTGCTCTCAGTTGAAAGGCTAGGTCAGATGCTCCTTATGAGAGAGTGCTTCAACACTCCTTTTTTAAATACCTAGTGCTCCTCTGGGTATGTATAGCTATAATTTCCAAGATAGCTGTGGAAGCAGTATATAGAAGGAAAAACCTAGGTTTTTAATACCTGAAGTTCTCCGAATAGTCGCCTCAACCAACCCCCGTTTCCATTCTTCCCTTCCCTGCATCTTTGGAGCGTCTGTGTATTCTGTATAAAACTGAGGAAGTGGCTGTGCACCTCTTTATTACTTTGGCATTAGAAAGAGCTAAAAGGGACATAAACAATTGCTTTTAGCAGTCCTGAGACATATGGACTCCAAGGGTGTGGATCTGTGAAAGCAACATATTCAAAGACCTCCGTTTACTGGAAAGTGCCTTGGATATCTTTTTGGAATATGTGTCTTTTCCGCATGCGTGAATGGCTATTGCTCTTTTGTCCTTGGTTACTAATTGAGGTAATTTAATATATAATATTTTACAGGGAAAACGAACAGGTATTTTTACATGAAAACCCACAGAATTGTATGTATATAGCTATGACTTTTTGCATGTTTTTCTTTTTCTTGCAGTGGAAGCTTTAACGTTCCCTCCTACATCAGGGAAGTCATTCATTATGGGAACAGATGAAGCCCTTGAAAGTGAGCTGGGTCTTGGAGAATTGGCAGGCCTTACAGTTGCCAATGAGGCAGATTCACTGACTTACGATGTAAGTGGTAGTTTAAAATAAGCCATTTGAGGTTCTGCCATCTATATGTGTGTGAAGATCTCAGTGAAGTCAGAAGTTTTACATGGGTACAGACTACAGGAGGAACCCCACATGTGCAACATATAGAATAAAGAAAAGTGTTTGCAAAATATCCATCATTTGCAAAATGAAGGATAATTCTCTTTATTAAAAGAGAAAAAAGTTAACAGTGACCTTTTAAGGGTCTTCTGCTGTCTTAACTCAAAATAGCTGTTCTTCATGTATGGTAATTGCTCCTCAGATCCCCACCCTTGGGGTACATCTACACTGCAATAAAACATCTGTGGCTTGCCTGTGTCAGCTGACTTGGGCAGGCTGCAGGGGTATAAAATTACAATATAGCTGTCTGGGCTAGGGGACCATGAGAGGTGGGAGCGTCCCAGAGCCCAGGCTCTAGCCTGAGCCCAGGCTCTAGCCTGAGCCTGGACGTCTACACTGCAATTTTAGAGCTCTGTGAGCCCGACTTGGGCCTGCTGCATGTGTTTAATTGCAGTGTAAGACATACCCTTGGAGTCTGTGTGCCATGCCACAGACCTTAGAACTATTGAAAGTCAAATAGCCTTAATAGGTGATAGCACTGTGCACATATAGCTCCTCGCTAAGATTTTAAGGTGCACGACTCCCTCCTTTGTTTCTTCTGTATAGCCTGTTAATGAATCTCACAACTGCTGATTTGGAGCCAGATGTCAGATTTTTCACGTCTTTAAAATCTTTTACTTTCTAGGAAAGTGTATTTCAGCTATTATTTATTTTAACCATCTGTCCCTGTGTTCTTTCCTTGGTGATCTGGCAACCACAGATCAATCCCAGTACAGTGCTCTTTTGCAGATGTTAAGGAATTGCAAACAGTAGCAAATGGAAGGTTTCAGCTTTAGTTTTCATCCGACCTGACCATACATGTAGTAAGGGACAGAGAGTCCTGTGGCACCTTATAGACTAACAGAAGTAATGGAGCATAAGCTTTCGTGGGTGAATACCCGCGTCTGACGAAGTGGGTATTCACCCACGAAAGCTTATGCTCCAATACTTCTTTTAGTCTATAAGGTGCCACAGGACTCTGTCGCTTTTTACAGATCCAGACTAACACGGCTACCCCTCTGATACATGTAGTAAATTACCATAGGGTGTTATACCTGTGTGATTTTTTTTTTGAACTCTGGAATAAAATCATCCCCAGCATTTCAAATTCCAGAAATTAACATGCAGCCCTTTAAAGCTGTAGTCCAAAAAAGGCATATACACCCAGACACAGATGTTACAGAGCTGACTGCAGTTTATTCAAAGACATTGAGCAATGTTGCAGCAGCAGCCATCACTATATTCTGCAAGGTATTAAATTTGTCCTTTGCAAGTCATGATTTGTTTAGCAACAAGAGAGGACATTCCTGTTTAGGTACATTGGATCTGGTAGCATGATCTCCTAGCTTTGGCTCAGGGCCGCCTCTGTTTCTACTAATGATGCATGATTTTCTTTCAAGAAGGGAGGGAAGCTGTTACATTCTGATCCCACTTCTCTTCATTTGGTAGTATAGATTCTTGACTCTTAACTGCTGAAATCTCGAGTTTAAGATATTTGTCAAGTGTTGTTGGAGTCCTCTAATCCATTCATATGAAAGAGCTTACACTTTGTCTGTTTGCAATAAAGGAAGAGTCTCGAGGATCTGCAGTCTTTTTTAACTGAAAAGGAACATTGAATTTAATCTAAAATAATTTGTCACTCCAAGAACCTCATTTACAGATTTAGCAACCACTATTTCTCCTTTAATGCTTATTGAGCCGGGTTTTCTAAAATTTTAGATTTCCATGCTAACTGCGTGTTCTCATTATTACTTCAATATTTATTAAACTCTGGGAAACAATTTCACTTTTTAAGTCTCTGATACATACTACATACTGTTTGAAGATATGCTGGATAGAATGCATAGATTTTTCAATATTGAAATCTCTGAGCTGTATTCTATTAAAGACCAATCTTTCAAAGGGGCATCAGTCCTCTCTGTTTGCCTGCAATTAATTATAGACGCACATGTTGGGATCTACATGAAATGTGCTTCACAAAAAATATTATGATACCGTTAGTCCTGATTTAGTTTTTGTATCAACATTTTATTAGTGGACTTTATCTGTTATTGCCAAGCAAATGAGTGCAGGGGACTCGATTAGATGATCTCTTGAGGTCCATTGCAGTCCTGTGATTTTATGAAACTTAGCGCAGGTAGTGGTTGATGACAAAGCCCTAAAAGATCATCCAATGTTTTATTTCAGCCTTTGTCCAAGGGAGCTGTGTTGAAATGACTGCCTTACAGCATTTCTTTTATGTTACTGAGATTGGATTATCATTTGGGTCACTTTTAAAAAGCAGTTATTGTCAGAGAAGTATCTTTGTAAATATAACGAGGAGTCCTTGTGGCACCTTAGAGACAAACAAATTTATTTGGGCATAAGCTTTCGTGAGCTAAAACCCACTTCACGTTGTTTTTGCTGATACAGACTTAACACGGCTACCACTCTGAAACCTTTGTAAATATAGTCTTACTCAACTGTTCTGCTTCCTTTTTTTAATTCCAAGTGATCACTGCTTATTTTACTGATAAAAATAAGTTTGTACTGATCCTGTTAGCACAACAAAGCCGATACATCTCTAAGAAAATAAATTGGATTATTGCCTGGCTTGTCCATTGACAGAATTGCCAGCCACATTTCCATCACAGATATTTTACCTTAAGGTCCACACCCCAATTGCATCCTAACTATTCCTATAATGCACCCTGTTTGAGTCAAGGCCTCTGTTGTTAATATGTGAACCAGAAAGAACACAGCTGAACTTCCATATCCTAGGCTGAGTTGGCAGCGCTGGTTGTTAGGAAGGGTATCTTGTGACTTGTAAACTGAGAAACTTTGAGTCACTGAGCGATAATAAATGTGACTCACAGAGCATTTCATGTTTGCACAGAGGCATGTCCATATGGGAGGACTTCCACCCTCTGTTTTTATGGGATGCTTCTCTTTATCATTTTTAAAAAGTAATCCAATTTATGTTATTTATGATCTTATTTTTAATTCTGGTCATAATCTACTGCTACTTTTTTAAAATATAAAAGTGAGGAAGAAAAGTAAGGTGCAAATAATCTGACTTTTGTATATACTACCTATATATGTAAATATGAGTTTTCTCATGCTTGGTAAATAGAGTGCTGGTTAGTTTAAAGACCTGGAGATATGAAAATGAAGTAACAATCTGAAGTAATCCATAAATGCTAGATTAAAATTCTGATTTCTCCTTCTGTTGTGAGTCCACCAAACTAAGTATAAGTTTTGGGTATTTTTTCCAAATAGATAGCAAACAATAAGGATGCACTGAGGAAGACCTGGAATCCCAAGTTCACATTACGAAGTCATTTTGATGGAATAAGAGGTCTGGCTTTCCATCCAGTTGAACCAGTCTTAGTAACTGCATCCGAGGACCATACGTTAAAAATGTGGAATTTACAAAAAACAGCGCCAGCAAAAAAGTAAGGCTATTCTTATTTAAGTGTTGTTAATGTGAACACATGTAAACTAATTATTTAGAGAAACAGTAGCTACAAAGAAAAGGTCATTTGGGGCTTGATCCAACTGCAGGTGGAGTCAATGGGAGTCCTCCCTTTTCACTTCATTGCGAGGGGGCATGAGGCTGTTGTAAAATACAGACCTTAAAAGAATGCCAGGCTGAAGCCATGTAACTTCATTAATCTCTCTTCTTTTCATTATGAAAATACCATATGATTTCTGTTTACTGTACTTCCATATAGATACTATTATATTATTTTACTAGGAAAACTTATTTAAAGGTGGTGACCTATTTAATTATATATCACTTACGTGTGTGTGTGTGTGTGTGTGTGTGTGTATGTATTTACTGATAAAAATATGGACAGACGTGAGATCAGATTCTCTGGCCCACTCTGCACCTTGTGCGCTGCTGGATCTGGATGCATCTCCTCTGCTGGAGATTTCCTGAATAGCCAGTAACTATGCCGCCACTCCTAGGCCTTGGCTACACTGGCAATTCACAGCGCTGCACTTGCTGCGCTCAGGGGTGTGAAAAAACACCCCCCCTGAGCGCAGCGAGTGCAGCGCTGTAAAGCGCCAGTGTAATCAGCGCCTGCAGCGCTGCACGCTCCCTCGCAGCGCTGCAAGCTATTCCCCTCGGAGAGGTGGAGTACTTGCAGCGCTGCGAGAGAGCTCTCGCAGCGCTGGCGGCGCGACTACACTCGTGCTTCACAGCGCTGCCGTGGCAGCGCTGTGAATCCGCAAGTGTAGCCAAGGCCATAGAGTCACCAGAGTGATTGGTGGGGAGAGACTTGGCCAGAGCATGGTGTACTCGTGCAGTTCCTTAGGGACAATTACCAGCTGGCAGAGTCTAGAATATGTTCTTAGCTGCTGTAAATTCACTTGGGGCTTTGGCATAACTGACCTTAGAATCAGTGAGCTGTAATCAGCTCCCTCCCTCTCTCTTGTGGCTGAGCACAGTATAAAATGTGGCCCATAGAATATACATAATCCATTCAAAGTTTATTCCCTCTTTTTGGTTTGATTGTTGTAGGATTGCTCATGATTAGTCTGCTTCTATTTTTTTGTTTGTTTGTTTTTTTGGCTGCTTTACAAAAAAAATCTTTCCAGTATTGCTTTTTGGAGATGTAAGATGGTTGGGGAAAACTTTCATATGAGTTTACAGCCGTTGGACAAGTTAGCTCTTTCAGCATTCTGTTTTCAAAAAATATTTTGGGGAACACTTGTGTACTGTAACATAAACTCTGAAACTGCTCTCCCGTGCTTTTGTTTAGGAGTGCCTCTCTTGATGTAGAACCTATATATACATTCAGAGCACATAGGTAAGAAACACTATTGTACTCTGAGAAATAACAGTTTTTATATGTTTAAAGTAGTTTTCAAGTATTAATTTCTACCATGTTTGAAAAATCAGCTAGTCTTTTTATTAATTTAGTTTCCATATTATCCATTTTAAATATTTGTATGTGTGTTTGGATCTATTACGAATGTCTTTATTATAGTTGGAGCTTGTTAAAGCTACCATTTAAAAAAAACAAATCTAATTATAAATATTGCAAATATAGGGATCTTTTGTGCTTGTTACTGCAGTACAGAATTTTTTTTCCCTATTAAATGTGTGTACAGTATGAAGCTGTTTGCAGGCAAAATAGTTAAGTTTAATTATATTTTAAAACTGGTAGGAACAGGCACATCGTTAGTGCTGCTTTTGTACTTCGTGCAATTGATTTAATCATTAATTTGGTCTAACTTTAATAATATGACTGGACACTGAGGTGGGGGAGCCTTTTTAGTCAAAGTCAAAAGCACTGTATCTCAGACCACCTGAAATGTGCAGTATTTTTGTTGCAGTGTTTCCATCTAGTGAGTCTCAGTTAAGAGTTCACAAGACCAAATGTTTTGTTTGAACATAGATTTAACAGTTATTTTTCTTACATGTAATCAGTGAAAAGAGTTGAAATTGATAATTTGGTTTCTGTGGGTTTTTTTCCAGTGGCCCAGTGCTCTGTGTGGTAATGAGCAGTAATGGTGAGCAGTGTTATAGTGGAGGAACTGATGGCCTCATCCAGGCCTGGAATACGACAAACCCAAATATTGACCCCTATGATTCTTATGGTACGTTTCTGTCACACTTGGCACGTTTTTGTCACAGACACTTAACAAGTGAAAATGAGGTATCTAGTGAAAACTTGAACTTTTGCTGGATTTAGCAGCACTGTGAACTGTTTTGCGTAGTGGTATTCAGAACTTGAAAGAAAAAGGTAACTATTGGCTTTAGTATCAAAGGCTTTGACTACATGGTGAGTTAGTACATGCAAGCCGCAGTGTGAATCTACAGCACACCAGTTTGCTGTGCACTAACTCGCCATGTAGACAAATCGTAAGTAAACTGCTACGTTAGTTCTTGGATTGACTCTTTGTTACGGGCTGGCAAAAGGGTGAAACCTGCCAGTTTAACAAAGAACAAGGGCTATGTCAAGAGACTTCTTAACATGATGTTTCATGTATGGTTTGTATGAAAGTTGGCTTTTGAAAAATAAGCTGACATGCTATTTATGGCATTTTAATCTTAACTTATGTTTAACTTCTCGAATGCTAATTTCTCCCTCATGTAGCATAATTGCAACTTCTTTTTTTTCTTGTTGGTTCTGTTGATATTATACATGAACACTTTCAGATTGGAAAAGGCTAGGAATACATGGAATTATCCTTTCATTTCTCATCCTCTGTACACATCATGAAGATATCAGAATGTTTCTCCCTTTCTAAGTGCTTCTTATTATTTTTCTAATACCACTGGGGTGAACAGCTTTGTAGAAACGTAGGAAGACAAGAGCTGTGCTGAGGAAATGTGTAAATTATAGAATTTAATAAATAACAGTGGTGGTCATGGAAAACGGGGACAAAAGAAAAACTTTGGAAAGGAAATACAGTTTTGGGAGACTATGGGTTTGCAAAAAAACCAAATCATACCTATTTTTCATTTATGTGTTAGTTTCTGGTAAGTTTTGGGGGTTTTAGGATTATATTATAAATTAAAGATAGTGTACTAGTGGAAAGAAACAAATTTGAAGAGGATCAAGATTGCTTGGCCTACACATAGTCTGTTCTAAGAATTGGTGGCAACATGGTGAAAGGTATAGAGCTGCAATTGAGAAAAGGAAACAGCTGGGGAACACTAAAGAGAAGAGTGCACATAGGGAGCAAGAGGAGGCAGAAGATAGCTTAAAATATAGGCAGGGTCTGAGCTGTGTGTATAGGGCCTTATGATGAGGCTGAGGGGTTTGGCCTTGATTTAGAAAGAGATGTTAACACACTAAAGAGACTCAAGGAGCAGGGAGAGCACCAGGAAAGGAAGGTGCTTTACGCTCTATGGTATTTTGAATATACTGAACGGGTAGGAAAGAAGCACAGGCCAGAAAGGAGGAGGTGGCAGTAGACAGTACAAGATAGTAAGAGTTTTAGTGGTAGCGGTATAGAGGAAGTGGATTTTTAGAGATGTTGTAAAAGCCAATTTTATTGTTTAAAAATACAAATTATATAACTGAATTCCAGATACCCTAGTGAAATTTGAGTACCGTTACACTGAATAAGCTAAACTTCTTCAGTGATAGGCCCAGCCAGATCCTCTGTTTTTAATATTTGATTCTATATACAGCCAAAGAAATAACTTCTAATTCGATGCCTGGTTTCTCTTTATTTAAATTTTGTTTCAAAACATTTATCCCATATAACTTTTTTCACAGATCCGTCTGTTCTAAGAGGTGCATTTGTAGGCCACACAGATGCAGTATGGGGCTTGGTTTATAGTGGAGCACACCAGCGTTTACTATCCTGTTCAGCAGATGGCACCATACGTTTATGGAAAGCTTCAGAAATTGCTCCAGCTCTTAATATATTTAATGATAATCAAGGTACAGAATAATTTCCTATTTAAATGCTTATAGCTTCGCTGTTTAAACTCATAATGTCTGTTGTTGTCCCACACATTCCTCCATGCTGCTCTTGAAGACTCCATCTTAGTTTTAATAGTAGTTTTTAAACAAATGCAACTTTTTTGTAAGTATTTTTACCCTTTAAGTTACTTGTGTCCTCTAACTTTGTCCTACAGATGTTTTTCTCTGGGAATTAGTCTTAGAGCTCCATGCAAGAAAAGATTTCCTTCCCATGAACATACTTCAAAGTAGAAATGGATCTCCTATCCCAGCCCAAGCTCTAAATAAAGCATCTTAATAAAAAATATTCTCTGAGATAGTATATCCACCAAATAAGATTAAGTTGGTGACCATATTAGATAATATAGGCTTAGATTCTGGGTCCTTACTCTCTCTAGATAATAAAATCTGTTATAAACCAATGAACCACTGTAGAGTATCACTTCAAATAATGACTTGTATTTATTATATTATCAAGTGCAAGATGGCAGTCAGTGTTTCAATTGATAAGTAATGTTTGAAAATTATATAGTTTTAGACAGCGTTAACTGTTTCCTTACGTCATAATGAAACTATATAATTTTTTATACCAAAATATTACCTGGTTTCTTGCTTTTACCAACTAATTCATTTCTGGAAAATGTGCTTCTTTTCTGTAGAAATGGGAATCCCTTCTTCTGTGGACCTTGTGAGCAGTGACCCAAGCCACATGGTAGCATCATTTAACAGTGGGCACACTTGCATTTTTAACATGGAGACACGGCAACGAATTCTTACCTTGGAATCCAACATAGATACCAGTATGTATCCAAAATGAAAACATTTCCTCCTTGAGAGAGGTTGATATTTTTATTGTTGAAAGCTTGTATTATTTTACTCAAAATGAGAATATGTTCACAAAAAATAGGCAAGTTGGGTGACAGGTGAAATTATAGAGTGAAATGCAGTTGCTGGATTTTAAGTAGTGATGGATAATTTTACAGCTAATCCTCTAGACCTCATGCAAGGCTCCAGCAACACAGTGAACCACAGATCTCTGATAAAAGGTCAGAAGAAATACATATTTTGAACATGCATTGTGTGACTCATAATTCTATTGGGATATTTTTAAGCAGTTGCTGTAATAGTAAAAATTAAAGCAGAGGAAATAGGTGGGGGGAATCCATAGCAAAACCTCTCCTCTGTGTATCCCCATGCATGGATATTATATGTAAGCGTATCAATGTTAGGTAAATGTGTCTGAGTGACAGTGAGTGTGCATGTGTGTCACTTTTAAAGTGCTGTGGAATGATTTAGGATAAAAGGCACTATATAAAAGTAAGTTATTACTTGAGAGAGCTTCCATTACAGACAGATGGTAGATTTAATGCCTAGGAAGAATTTTTAACCCAAAACTTGTTACTAATTTTATTCTTTCAAAGGAACATGTGTGCTGGAGTTTGCAATCTTTAGAGATTCATTATATATTTTTTTCATAGCCGCTAACTCTTCCTGCCAGATCAACAGAGTTGTCAGCCATCCAACGCTTCCTATTAGTATCACTGCCCATGAAGACAGGCACATCAAATTCTATGACAACAATACAGGTAAGTGTTCTTTCACTAGATATTGTCCATAGTAGTTATGTAAAACAAAACAAACACACTCTCATAGTAATTTGTTGGCAGTCTCATGAGAGAGGTCAAGAATTGAATGACCTTTGACACCGAACTATCGGCCCAGACTTCATCTGTAGAAAGCCCATACAATTGGCACATGGTGAGGCAATGTCGGGAAACTTGCACTGTTGCAGTCTGCAGTTTCTGGTTTTAATTGTCTCACGTGGTAGTGATTTCCCCATTTCCCTTGTAGGGCTATTGCACAGACCTAGTGGAAACTCATTCTTGGGAAACTTCCCCTCATGTTGGTCTAAAATTTTCATTTGCTGATTTTTCATCTTTTTTTTTCTAATTCTGCCTGCTTGGATCCTCATAAGCAGTTAAAAGCAGCCTAGGCATCTCTGTAGGATTGCTGAGCACTGGGTCTGGCCTGGCCTGTTTGGGGAAGCAGTAGTTTCCTTTTGAAGTTCCACTAATGACATTGGTCCAGACTCAATGGGAGCGCTCCTCCCGCAATGTTGCTTCAAAGAAAATGGCCTCTTCTCCAGGAACAACTGGGCAGGTTTTAATTCAGTTTAAGTCTGGACGGGGAGCTGAATTAACATTCCCAGTTCAGTTTTAAGGGATCCAATTACCTGCACAGAGGTGCTGTGGGATTCAATGGCAGTAGTAAACCAATCCTTTCCCAGCAATCTGTGACCCTCTTGCTATTGCCAATTCACTTTCTTAAAAGTTGTATTGCACACAATTCAGTATTCCCAGTGGTTTTTTTACAGTAAAACACGAGAGCTTAAAGTGTCATCTGAGCTCATGGCAAGGGATAGTAGAAGCTGGGGGGAAAAGATGAAAATAAATAAACCTATTTTTTAAAAATTGAACAAGCAGACAAAAAGCCTAAACCTTTTTCCTGTTTTCTTACCCTTCTTCTGTTAATTTCCTTCCACAACAGAAGAATATATTCCATAGATAAACCCACAAGTGTTTTGTATGTTTTTAAATGAAGGAGCTGCTATAATAGCAATAAGACATGCAAGGCTCAACAGTAGTAAAGGACTGATTCCGTTTTGGAATGATTGAAGGCACTCAACTGTATTTACCCAAAATGTGAATGATTGCCTACCAATGCACACATTGTTGTGGCTTATTGCTGAATAACTGACCTCTAAGTCAGTTAGGCAGCAGAGACTTGCACTCTCGCTGCAGCATCAGCTCAGAAAAAACTATTGATTGTTACAGTCCACAAAGTGTATGTTGTATATGCAGTGCAATGGATTAACACAGTTGTTGACGTTAGAACTGTTGTCCACTTAAGCAAATGAACAATATAAAATGAGTTGATACATAACCATACTCACCCAGTCATGAGAAAGTATTTTTCTTTAATATGATATAAAATGTGAAAGGCTCCAATCAGTGAGAAAAAGCAATCGACAGAATTAAAATGTTCATTCTCTTTCAGATTCAGTGGGGCCATACAAAGTAAATTGCCATAATATGTTGAATTACAAAAATTAACTGTAGAAAAATAACATGGGTAATCTTTTCTTTCAAAGGAAAACTGATCCACGCAATGGTAGCCCACTTAGATGCAGTCACAAGTTTAGCTGTTGATCCTAATGGCTTGTATTTGATGTCTGGCAGTAAGTACATCAAATGTTAACCTCTTCCTTTATCATAATAACTTTAATGTTTTTTACAATTAAGACAACATATTTCCCTCTTTCTCTATGTAGGTCATGACTGTTCAATTCGCTTATGGAACCTTGAAAGCAAAACCTGTATTCAAGAATTTACTGCTCATCGCAAAAAATTTGATGAGTCTATTCATGATGTGGCATTTCACCCATCCAAATGTTATATTGCCAGTGCAGGAGCAGATGCTCTGGCTAAGGTCTTCGTATGACACAGTGCTTCCCTTTCAACTCTAGCTCTTGTACATTTAACCAGATGCACAAAAGAGAGGGAGACGTGAGCAAGAATCTTCATTTCCGACCCTGAAATTAAGAGAACGTTTGTAATGGTTTAGTTTTTGCAGGGTGCTCTTTTCTAAATTAAGGTTTCTTCAGGTTTCTGCAAACTCAGCTGGTGCTGAGAGCTTGGAAACTCTCAGTTTCAAATGTCAACAAAAGAAATGCTTTTATTTCTGAGGGTGTGAATATTCGTCCAGGCAGGCCTTGGGCGAAACTAGGTATCTGTATTCTCTGCTAATAAAATGGGACACTATAGAGGGATGGTCAAGTAAATAGGTGGCCTGATTGCTGCAGGGAGACGGGGAGGGGAACTTCCAAGTGTTTCTCATCAAGGAATCTTATAAACAGCATACTTAAATTAAGTGACCTCAAAAGGTGACAGTTCACATGCCCATTGGGCTGCCATGTGAATTTCACTTGTTCATCCCTTTGGTATTAATGACTAGATGGTGTTTAGAGGAAAGTAGCTGATCGTTAATCTCAGCCCACTTGGCTGCTAGCATAAGGTAAATTTGGTTAAAAGGAAAAAAAATACTAAATTTTAAAAATTATTAATGCAGTAATGTTTTGTTAAATCTATTATGTTATACAGCAAATATTTAGTTTGCAGGAAATGTATACATTTTATTAATTTTGTGAAAGAATGTGATAGCAAGTGGCTAGAACCTAAGGCCATAGTCTAATCACAATTAAGGAAACAGGCTGAAATAGTCTGTACATACTGTAATAAGGGATTTAATTTATTCAAATTTATAATACTGTTTATTGTTGGTCAGGCACAAGAAATTATAATAAAACTTCCTACAGCAATCTCTAGCAGAGTTTAGCTAACACATCTTCATTTTTTCCCATTCCTTCCAAAAAGGGTGCCACTGTGGATGAAAATCATGATTTCATTTTAAGAATAAACATGATTTCATAGTGCTCTGTGTGAGCCTTGCTATCAGATTAATGCAGTAGGTGCCTTTACAAAGTTCCACCAGTTTGAAAGATTCTGCTTGTTCTAGAGAGATTCCCTAACTTTCAAACCGTTGGAACTTTTGAAATGTTCCCCCTGTATGGGGCATGCTGTGCCATTGATCTTTAAAGTGTGGTTATGTGAAAAGTGACTGTTTAAAAACGGCACCTTTTTACTCAGCAGATCTGGTCCCTCGCTATATTCAGAGTATATCTGTTTACTTTAGTGACAGAAATAAGTTTGCTGGTTTTTAGTCCTGTTGTTCCTGCAGGGCGTATTGCAGGTGAGAAAGAGTAAGGTGGATTCTATTCTGTTGGGCACCATCAGACTTGGTTACCTTTCTGTAAATCCATTTAAGGCAGTGGTGTCCTCAGTTCCACTTGTGGAATATAATTAGTTCTGCAGATTCTTTATTACTGGTGGTGATGTGAGAAGGAAAGAACCCCACCTGACTCTCAAATCCCAGGTTGAGTTTGGCTAGAAGTTAATAAAGAAATCTTTTCTTTTAAACTGACACGTTGGAAATAGGAGTCATTGAAACACAGTAAACATAGGACACAATGCTATTTTTAGAGTGATTTTTCAGAGCAGAACCACACTTAAGCAGAACTCCCCATTGATTACAATAGGGAGTTTAGATTAACATTCAATGTCACTCTGTTGCTTTATGATTAAAAAGTTGCCCCAAACTGTTTGAGGCTGCAGTGTACTATATTTAATGCTAAATACCCTGGAATACCTTTTACTGCTCAGCATATTCAGATATTTCAGTTTGTGATATTGATGTACAATATATTTCCATTAAATAACATTAGAATTTTACCACTAAACAGATTACTATAATAACGCAAATTATTTAGTTTTATATGATAAAAAGGGGAAATCTGGCTGCAAAACTGAGCATTCAACTTTGTGAAAAATCATTTGTGTACTTGACTTGTTCTTTCAGTGTCATTATTTTATTTCTTTTTGGAAAGGAAATTACAAAGATTTATTTGAAAAATTCTAAAAGTTATGTATATTATAGATGTGTATATATATATTGTAAACATGTATTAAATCTGTCTTGTAAGGGAAGACTTCATGGGTGCATTTTAATGTTTTAGTATTAAGAATTCTTCTCAGTTTGTGTATACAAAGGATAATGATAAGTATGAAATGAATGTTGTGCTGTTTGCTTACAAAATATAATACATAGTTACAGGTGTTTAGATTGCTGTACATAAAACTAATAGGCCAGCATGCTTGTTTTTAAAGACTGTCGTTCTAACTGATTAAAAGTTGAATGTAAGAAAAAGCGGCTAGTCAAATGTGAATTGAAAGATGTTCCATTCTTACTCTTGAGCTCTTGCTCAAACTGAAAAGTGAATCTTTTAAAGCTGGCAATAGCTGGAAGATGAGGTGCCTTTAAAAAACAAATGTAGCCTTACAAAGAAGTTGTGGAGTATATATTTTTGTGCTGGTCTTCATAATTGATGTTAATGTCTTTTTTACTGTATCTGCTCACGTACTAGCAGGACTGCAGGATACTGTGCATGAGCCTGTCAGCTCTTCTGAACATCATCATAGAAGTTAGGGATGGAAAGGACTGCTTAGGCTGTTTAGTTCATCAGCCTGACAAAGTAGGATTGTTACCCTATTGTGCGTTTTTAAATAGTGTTTTGACCAGTGAGGTTTTATATATGTCCCAAATGATTAGGCTTTCGTTGCTTCCCTTGGAAGACTACTCCAATGCTTAAATATTTCACTATTGGAAAGTTTTACCTGATATTCAGTCTAAATATTTCTTTTCTTAATTTCATCGCATTATTCCAAATTACAGTCCTTTGTACTGAATAGTTCCTCTCCATGCTTGGTATTTACACCCTGAAGGTATCTGTAGACTCTTACCATATCCCTTTCTTAATTGTCTCTTAGGAAAGCTATACATGTTAGCTCTTTTCATTTTTTCCTCACAAGTCAACTCTCTACAACCCCTGATCATTTCAGCCCTTTCAGTTTGTCAGTTTATTTCTTCATAACTTGCTGTCCAAAACGGTGCACACACCATTCCAGATGCAGTGCCATCAGCATTAGTATAGACAGGGTCTGTTAACCTGTGTGTTCTGTGATGTGATGCTTCTTCTCATGCAGCCCAAAATTTTATTGGCCTTTTTGCTGCTGTCAGATCGCAAACTCAAATCCCAGTTGTATCTGCCATCTTCTTTAGACAATTTTCAGCATTATTGCTTCCCAGGTTGTTGTTTCTTCTTTAGTTATGTGCAACTCCTCCCAATTCAGTATAGTCTGTAAATTTCATTAATGTGTATTGGCCAATAATGAAAATATTCACAGGATTGGACCCAACTCTGTTCCTTGCAGTATCTCCACTAAACATTTCCATACCCATGATGCATTACATTCTGCCATTATGCTGTTTCCACATCAAGTTCACATGGCAATTTTGTAGTTTTGTTTCATAGAAATTTCAGTGTAGGTTAACCTGTGTTATTAATTTTTGTTTTTAATAAAGTCCAGTTGAAAGGAGAAATTACAACCCCTTTATCTGGTGAAAATGATCTAATAAGCTTAAACATCCTCCTTTTCACTTCCAATTTACAAGGATAAACCGTATGCTGTTTTTGTATGTTTACGATCGAGCTAACTAAAATACTTTCTTGTGCAAAAGGATTAGACTAGTTTGGGACACACCTTGGATTAAGTATTATGGGAAATATTTCCTTCACTTTTATAGTGTCTTAGTCACTGCATATATATATATATAATTTTTTTTTGGTACCTTAAAGACAAACCTCTGTGACATGCCAAGTAAAATCCTAATCTGAGTGTTCAAATGTCTTTTTCATTTATATTGTTTATAAAAGTCACCTAGGACTACCATGATTTTCAGATCACATTTAAGTTTTTCACTTAATAAAAAAAAAAATTTCTTTAGAAAGAGCTCTTTAAAATAAACCTCATTTCCTATAGGTTTTTTTTAGGGTGCAGTGTGAGATTAAAGTAATGTTACAGCTTAAGTATTCCCAAGCGTAATACGGTTAAGTTACTAAGTGTTAATTATTCAGTATTCAGCTTTGTAATTAAACCATAACCAGATGTAGAAGCTGCAAATTCCAAATAAATAAAAACTTGTCCTTTTCAGTAAATAAAATCTAAAGTAACTAAACACACATTTTTTTTCAATACATCAGTGTGAACTCATCCCAAATTTTTCTAATTCTCAGCTGCTTTAATCATTTGATATAGGGAGTTCCACAAACTATGCATTAATGTAAAATACATACATCATTTTTTGACAGGAACACCGGATTCCAAGCATGTTACTAGAATCCATTCTAAAGGAAACCAAAAATTCATTAGCAAGCATAAAAGTCCTATCTCGCATCTTTTTCAAGCACTTCTAAAGACTTTTCTGTAATGAATGTCAATTTGTATGAAGTCTGCCCATCACTGGTTGCATGATATCTTAAGACCCAATTTTAAATTCTAAATTTTGCCCTTTTGTGCCAAAGTAGAAAGTATAGTTTGGTGAAAGAGTAAAATATACTACTAGAGAAGGGGTAGCAAGAGATTTGTGGTATCTTATAACAAAATCTTTGAAAATAAAATGGTGTTTTGTTAATTTATTTTTCAAATACAAGGTCCAGTCTAACTTTGACACATACTCCTCAGAGACTTCAGTGTGACCACACATGAGCGTCAACTTAAGCACATATGTAAGAATTTGCAGTATCAGGCCATAAAGAAGTTAATAGGTGACTTGTTCTCATGTACTGTGATAGGATTAGAACTTAATCACAACGGAGGGAGTGCAGGACCAGTTTTCAGCCTTATTTCTGAATGCCCATGATTTTGTGGATTTAGATCATGACCTCAATGTTATATAAATGATTATGGTATTTTTGCATTTAATTCATTATAAACAATCCATTCCATACAAATAAATGCACAGTCAATGCCATTCTAAGCTTAGCTTTGGAAACTTTGCTTTATTTCCAGTGTGATACACAAATGTTTTAGGCATTTTACTATGTTACTAAATGATGCTACAGCTTTTTATTTTTTATTTTGACATGCAAATGAGCTATGAATGGGAAAAATGCTTCAAAGATATTTCATGAGTCAGTTTATGAACATGTATATATTTCAGATAGGTGAAATGGAACTCTTCATTAAATTGGGAAAATACAAAATGGAAATAACTGTGGAAACTCTACCCTAAGTACAATACAACATTTAAAAATACATTCTGAAATTTGAGGCTGCTAAATGGAAAATTATTTGGCCACAACTATTAAAAAGGGAAAAATCAGACCATGACATTAAGACTAATGAACATACGGTATTGTTAGGCAAATTTATAATTTGTAATATAGTTAATTCATGTTACCTCTTGGACCTTTCCTGATGGTGAGCTTCAAAGCTACAGTCAAATTAACTATTTCTGTCTTGAGTGGCATAGAGTAACTCTGTAGTAAGGTTTTAGTTTTGTTTTTGTTTTATTTTTTGAAATCTATTGCTCTTCCCTGAGGCAAATATTTCGGATAGTGCCCCGTCCCTTAAGGAGTTGAGAATTTACCATTTACTCTGACTTTTGTTGTGTATTTTGTGGAGGAGGCTACACTGAAAAGTGACATAACTTGACTTCTGTGGTATAAATGGATTTAGGTTTATAGAACAACGCTGGTGTAACTACAAATTGCACGTAATCTGCTAATCAAACCCCTTGCAATGTCAGGTACTACTCAGTATGACTAAGGGTAACAATAGTAAGGTGGTAGACAACATTTTGCCCATCAGGCTGCCTGTGTGGTATGTCTACAAACCAGAAAAATTGTAGTTGGAGGGAAACTGAATTTTGAAGGGTGGCCTGACGTGAAATGGAACAAAATGGGAAATCTTAGGATGGTGAAAAATTAAGGCATGAGCCTGATCGAACCCCTATTTTTAAGTGATCCTTACTCAGGCAAGTACTCCTGTTCATTCAGTGGGTCTGCTCCTGTTAATGAAAATCTTGCTAAATCAACCTCTTAGGTTGCGTACGATGACTTTTCCTTGTTTACTAACAACTATTTGCTGAGTAGCCACCTTTTTCATGGTCTCGTTTGTTGTTACCATTTGAATCTCTTCCATAAACTATACATTCACAGAGCCTTAAAATCCCATCTGTTTTTGACTTCCTGCTTTGGAGGGTGAATTGCATTGATTAACAGCAACTTCCTGTTTAGACACTTTTCCTGAAGGACAGGTGGGATTTCAGGTCTCTAGGACTATAGCATCTGAGTTTTCATTATTTAGAACAAAAAATTTGGACCTACTTATTTTTAATTTTAGTTTCTGATTCTAGTGAATTTTCTGATTTTTTTGTATCCTACCTGCTGACTTAATTTTGTTGCTTGAAGTCTGTTTGAAACCTGAGAAGTACTGTACAATGTAAGACCTTGCTTTAAGGTTCTGTTCGCAGTATAAATCCCTTTGAACGGTGCAACGAGGGTTCTAATCTGGTGTTTGCAGTGTTGTTGTAGCCGTGTTGGTCCCAGGATAGAAAGACAAAGTGGGTGAGGTAATATCTTTTACTGGACCAGCGTCTGTTGGTGAAAGAGACATTTTTTCTTTTCTACTTTTTCTTCAGGTCCTGATGACATGCTCTGGGTAGCTCAAAAGCTTTTCTCTTTCACCAACAGAAGTTGGTCCATTAAAAGATATTACCTCACCCACCTGGTTTTAATCTTGCTCATTTTCAGTAAAGATACTTTGTCGCCGTGGACAAACCAATCCATACTGTAGCTAGATTAAAAAATATACTTTAATGCAGGTCTCTACATTAGCTAGTGTGATATTTTTTAAACCAATTTGACCCTGTCTACACTGCCAAGACTTATGACACAGTAAGACCACAACCATGTTTACACCATGCTTAAGCATGTATTTTAAATTGTTCAAAGCCCTGTGCTGACAAGGCCTAAAAGTCCTGTTTGGTTGCATTCATTCACCTTGAATTGCAGGCTCCCAAAATTACTTGCTCAGAGTCTGAGAAATTTTTGGTCCTAGCACCAAAGTCTTAAGCTGAAAGGCTAAAAAAAGAGTTACACAGCTGGATTTGTACTTCTCTAAAAGGGAAGGAATAATTTCTTGCCAAACCAAATAGATTCATGACTTTTGTGGCTTACTTATTAAAAGCAGCCAAAAATATTGTATAAGGGATAAATGATGGACTTCAGGCTGATACTTTTCCATTAAGAATTTATTTTTTTATTCTATCTTTCATTGAAATTGTGGTCTTTACATGTAGCTTGTTTTTTCAAATGTAGAGCTCCCAAAATTGTTGTTTCATCTCAGACAAGCATTTACAACAAACATAAACAGATTTCAGGGGTATCACTTCAGCATTAGCAATCTGGAGCAACTTACTTTTGAAAATACAAAAAGAGTATGTTAACAAAAACATTGTATAGCTTTGGAACCTGAGTGGATTGTGAGGGAGTCTTGTGCTACATGCAGTGGTTTCCTTAAATCACGCATTTCAGCAGCTTGTAGAAAAATACGGGATAATAAAACTATTATTCAGTGTAATATTTTCTATTAATTATAGGTATAATAACTTCTTAACATGGATATTCATCAGTATACCCTCTGCTTGCAGTGTATTTTGCATGAATATCTTCAATTGGTTTCTTAAAGAGACACTCAAGTTAAAACAGTCTTTCAAAGAAATTTCTTTGCCTCTGGAACTAATACTACTCATAGTTAAAACTGAAGTAATTTTAAATATGTTTCACTATTAATGCAGTTTGTTTCTTGTTTTGATTCTTGTACTTCATTTTTTCCCTAAAACAAAAACTATATTTGGGACCAAAGCTGTCTGGTAATGCCTCTTTTAAAATATAGATAGGGTTGCCAATTTTGGTTGAACATATTCCTGGAAGTTTCCTCACATGACATAATCTTGAATTCAAGATTAATCTTTAATTCCTGGAGACTCCAGGTCAATCTGGAGGGTTGGCAACCCAGATTACAGGTGGTGACTACAAAATATTAGTGACTATAGCTGCCACATTCCTAAGTCTGAACTTTGTGCTGCTCCAATGAAAGTTGAAGTGAAAGGGTAATGTGGGAAACACATCCTTGAAAACAATTAACAAGGAGAAAGATTGAGCGTGCATGTTACTTTGGGGTTCTTATGTTGCGCACTCGTGAGTGTCCTGAATGACTACTTTGGTGTAACAGTATCAGACTGCAGGTGCTTTGTGAAATGGTGGCTCAGATGGAAAATATCTATTTGTTGAGTAATTCTGTTGGCTTGTCAATTTGTGTCTATGGTTTAGTATGAGATTATGTAAAAGTTATAAACATGCTAATTTGGTGGTTTATGCTACTCTTTTGTACACAGCGAATTAATTATTTTAAAAGTTGTATATCAATTTTTTAAATTTGCAAAGTAACTAGTTCTCCCAATAATAAGAATCCATAAATTGCAAATGTTCTGTAATTTCAAAAGGATGTTGCATTCATTGGGGAAAATCTAACTGCTTGTGTTAATCCCTACAATTTTGAGATGTTTTTACCATCAAACAGACCAGAAGTTTTTTGTATTAGAATGAAAGCATTGTATTATCAGTTAAAAGTTTAATATTGTATCAGAACTTCAGAATTCATTTTCAGAATCCTAGACATACATACAAAACTGCAAAATTTGAACAGTCACAGGGCAGTCATTTAACACCTATTTGTAC